CATTTGAGTTGAGAAAGGAAAGGAGCTGCGTCATGATTTGGGTTAATTCGGGCCTGAACGTTCCTTGAGAAGGAAGGGAGGATTCATAAGCATCAGCATTACAAGGGACTACGAGCTTTACATAGCTTGCGAGGTTTGCTTTCACAAGTGATTGCTGAACATTGGCCATTGCAGGAAGGACTAGGGACTGAAACTGACCCTGGTAGCTTGTGAGGAAGGGCTCATTTCCGACAGCAATATACCTGCAATAATCCCAATAGCTAAATGTTTATTTAAATAAGAGATTAACAAGATAGCAGTAGAATGTAACATTAAGAGAAAATCCTAATACATCACAAATCTGATATTCAGACCAAGTTTGGTCCTCAGCAAAAATCGCTGGGTGAGATGCATGAATCATAGCAACTGCTATACAAAAGTTACATAGATGAGGTAAATTTGCAGAAAAAATATGAAATGTTACATGGAACTGTTAATGAAACTGCTAACTTGAGTATATATTAAAATGCGTCATGTGCACAGTGCATGCCAGCTACACGGTAATCCTTGAAAGATGAATAACTATGCTTGCTATGGTTTCAATATAACATGATAACATCTAGTGAGAATATAACCTGGCATCATCATCTAGAGACCAAGAAGGCCAGTCCAGGTTTAGAACAAGATTTGAGTCACTGACCAAAAACCTCAAACTACTGTAGGCTAAGATTTGTGGTTAGGACCAAAACTACATATTTTCGCAGTTGGTTCATAAATTTAAAGTCCCAAGTGTTTGTCGGAGAGACAACTATAGGTCTAACTTAAGTTGCACATCATAGCTAGTACAATAAAAATAGGAAAACCTACACACACCAATACGTGATGCATTATCACTCTCATTTGCTTACTTAGCTCTGCCAGTGTGGGCCTTATTTTATTGCCAATACTGCTTGTCCCAAGCCAAGATAAAAGAGGAGGGTTGCGTTAGGTAGCCAACAAGTGTAAACCATAGTCGGATCCACGTGAACATGAATCCTCTACTATTGGAAGAATATGATTCATGTAGCCGACCCTAAAAATTGGAATAAATGCTTTCTCGTTGTTTTTACTATCCACAAATCACATGGAAACATGGAGAACTGTTAAATAAATATCGACTTAGCTTTTTTAAGTCTTGATCTTTTGTGTGACACATATCATGCACATAATAAATATGTCTTGGAAATTATAATTTTAGGTACATCGAAAGAGCTGCATTGAAAATGTGGCTTACAGAGTATTTGATTGGTATGGAGCACACATACAGCTCCTAGCTTGAAGTATCAATACTTCATAATACCTAAACTAGGCATCCTATTTGAAAAAACTTCTACACATCTTAGCTGTCAAATCGTTGCAACTGAACAGGCCTGCCTCCTTTTTCCATACCATCGCGTGTCCTGGCGAACTGCGGGGGTAATGGGGTTTTTTTCCTTAGGAGTTTTGGGCTGGCCGAATAATGGTAATCGAAGTGGGTACAATCACTTGCCAATATTGGGACTCAATGAAAGTAACAGAAAACTCAGGGAACTCCTTTCCTTCATGCAACTGACTGAAAGTGGAAGACTTCGCATAATGGAAAGAGAACAACTTAAGACGAAAATCAGAGGCATTTTAGTTTGGGAGAAGTCAAAAACTTATTCTACTAATGAAGCAAAAGTTTATACTGGATCCTAGGTGAATATGGTCAAGTAAATATTGAGAATTGTTCTCCACCCTTTTAACCAAAGGAAAATGTTATATAACATTTCATTTGCTCCTAATTCTCTACAAACTATTTCATTCACTGGCACCTGATTTTAGCACAACTAGTCATAAACCAGCACAACTAACATCAATAAACAATAAACAATATCCCAAACATAACCAACAAAAACAACCCAAATTTTAAAAAGAATTGTTCTCCACCCTTTTAACCAAAGGAAAATGTTATATAACATTTCATTTGCTCCTAATTCCCTACCAACTATTTCATTCACTGGTACCTGATTTTAGCACAACTAGACATAAACCAACACAACATCAACAAACAACATCCCAAGCATAACCAACAAAAACAACCCATTTTTCAAAAACCCAATATACAAAATTTAATAAACCAATAAAAGAACAGAATAACCAAAATTTTTAAATTAAACCCATCATACCTAATATCAGCACCACCTTTAATCAAATATCTAGACACATTCTGGCTAACAAACAAATCAGCAGCAGCAGCAGAGGCGCTCAAAACCCCAAGCATCTCATTAGGAATCCCAATCATAACTTGAATCCCACTACCCATCAAAGCTCTGAGCGCATCTGGGTCAGAATCAAACAGCTTCACCTTCTCAATCTTGTTCTCTCTCAGCAGATCCACAACAATGGGAGGTGGCAGCCTGTGAGTGGACAGACTCCCCCAGTTCACTCCAATACCAGATTCCACAACGAGAACAAATCTAAGGAGAAGCAAAAGGGGCAGAGAAAAATGGGTTGCAGCCATTTTTGCCTGGAGAATGGGAAAATGGGTTCAAAAACAGTTTTTTTTTTTTTTGGCTCTCTCTCTCTCTCTCTCTCTAACTGAGGGAGGGGAAAGCGTGAATAAAAATGGTATCTTGGGTTTAGTGTGAAGAGCGTGAAGAATGAAGGGATGTTAACTCGTTGAGTGTTTTAATTAGAGAAGAGAGAGTCGGTTTAAATGGAGTAATCAGTTTGAGTAAAGTTAACCTGCCTGAATTATTTTAAGATAATATTTTGTCTTTTTTTTACTACTGGTTGGTAGCAGATTACGTCAGTTCGAACTTTTTGACTGTACAGGGTATAGATGTTAACGGGTCGGATCAGGAGTGACTCGTACCCGTAAGTTTGGATTAGTGGAATGTAACTAGAATATATTTCTTTGGCGGGCAACAATATATATGATTAATTAAAAGATGTATTAAGAGCTTCTCTGTTTTTTGCAAGAGGCGGTGTAATTCTTCCTAAGTATTTAGTATATATTTAAGGCGTCTAGAGAAAGACTAAGAGCATGTTTGCCGGATGCTTATTTTACAAGGGCTTATAAGTTACTTATATTTTTACTTATTTCGTTAGAGTGCAAAATAATCTTTTAATATCAATAAATAAATCTTTTTATAGGTGCCAAAAAAATTAAGTTGGAAAATCTCAATTTATTATCTTCTGCTTATAAGAAAATAAGAGAAGTAAACTTATTAAACATGATCTTAGATCCTTGTAAGGAAAAACTTATATATTAAAATAAGTAGGCTACCAAGAATAGGAAATTGTAACTTGGAAATCTCTAAAAGTTTAATTTCCACCATTTCCATCCCTAAAACTTACCCACAATATCCAATAAAATATTATTTTTATCCAATAACTCATCCACATCATCCAATAAAATATTATTTTCACCCAACAACTCATCTCATATCATCCAATAAAATAAACCAAACAAAAGAAATGGGTCACATCATCCAACTCATCTCATCTCCATCACATCTCATCTTTAAAAATCACCCACATCATCCAATAATATTGTGACAACTCATCTCATCTCATCTCCATTTCATCTCCACCCATTTCCTCCAAAAAAACAAGGAAATTGATTTCCTTAAGTGTGTGTCACATCATCCAATAATATAATGACAACTCATCTCATCTCATCTCATCTCCTATTTTTTAAGAATGAACCAAACACAAGAGAATAACCTATTATAAGAAATAGGTTTCCTATTCTTTGATTTCCTTCTTTTTTAACCAACCAAACAACCTCAAAACAACTTTTCTTAAAAAATTACTCACATCATCCAATAATATGGTGACAACTCATCTCATATCATCTTCTATTATTTGATTTCCTTCTTTTTTTAGCCAACCAAACAACTATAAAACAATTTTTTAAGGAAATAGGTTTCCTATTCCTTGATTTCCTTCTTTTTTTTTTGGCAAGCAAACAGCCCCTAAGGGGCTGTTTGGATGTCTTTAGGAAACTAGAGTATTTATGACACAAAATAGAAAGTGGTTATCCACCTCACCACTTTTCATTCGAGTGTTTACATTGTTTGGTTAGGAATCTTTGTGAATCCTAAAATAATAATATTACAATATTGTTTGGATAGTATAATGTAAACTAGAGTATTTATGACACAAAATGTAGAGTATTTATGACACAAAATAGAAAGTGGTTATCCACCTCACCACTTTTCATTCGAGTGTTTACATTGTTTGGTTAGGAATCTTTGTGAATCCTAAAATAATAATATTACAATATTGTTTGGATAGTATAATGTAAACTAGAGTATTTATGACACAAAATGGAAAGTGGTTATCCACCTCATCACTTTCTACAAGATTTTGACTTTTTTATTATTTTTTTGGACACATTTATGACATTGTGTAAGCTTTCCAACAAAATAACTCCTAATTTTGGTGATTTTGCTTTCGGTGACACCTCATCAAAAGGTATAAACTTTTCATGTAAAAAAGAATTTAAACAAACAATGTAAAGTGATGAAAGCTGACATTAGGACTCACTTTTTTTACACTTTCCATCATTTTACATGGTAAAAACATACAACCAAACAGCCCCTAATCAGAGCAAACTTAATGAAAGAATAAAATAAAGGGTACTTACTTTTTAAAAAAAAATCCTTATTAAAGTATATGTGCTGTGGTAATTTTCACTGCACAACGAAAAGAAACGAGCCCATGTGGATAAACAGTAACAAAAGCCAGCCGACGGTGGGACCTGGCTTGTGGAGAGAGAACTTTCTAAAAGCTACATAATTATTTAGTAGAAAAAATAGTTTAAACTTCCTACTTTGGGCCCACATCTGTGAAAAGAAAGTTTAAACCTCTACTTTGGACCTACACGTGTGAGGAGCCCGAACTCCACATGTCCCAAACTACAAACTGTACACTTTTAGATTTAAGATTGCCTTTGGTTTGTTGGCCTTATTTATCTCCAAGTTGCACTTGCACACAACAACTAATTTAGCTCATTTCTAGATAAATATTCTCCCCCAAATAAGAAGATAACATATGATAATCATCAAACACACTGATAGATAATCCTACACGTTACTATTAGCTTTTGCATGCACCCGGTGCTCAATCTTTATCTCACCCAGTTGCATTCTCAGTTCCACGCCAGCTACAGATAGATGAGGGTAAGAGATGCACATATCGGCACAATATCAACCACAACAAAGAGTAAAAGCTCTCAGTAGTCTCATTATACAATTCTCCAAAGATCTCACAGCCGCCTCCAAAAGAACCGGGCTCTATCGAAAGCTCGTGTTAATTTCTTAAGCTCACCCCTTTTGGAAATCAGGCTGGTTCGTCACCGACCGGACCCATGCCCACTTATGATCCTTTGTATCCACCACATTCTTCGCCGACGCCACCTCCTCCACGGGTATATACCCGTAATTCCCGTTGATCGGGCCCCACGGGCCCACGTCGAGAAACACGGGATTGCCGGACTCGTCTCTCTCCTCCTTCTGAGACTCGGTTCTCGGTATCATATCTTGGCCAGCGCCCTCGGCGACGACTATCACAGCGTGTCCATTTTGTTTCAACGTCTGGTCGAGGAATTCGAAGAGACCACCTTTGCCTTCTAAGTAGAACTCTGTTTCGGGGATGAGGCAGCAGTCGACATCGCGGCTGCTGAGGGTGGAGTGAAGGGC